GCTCTGCCCACCAGATTGTGGCTTTTGTACTGTTCTGTCGAGGTCTCCTTGGATGTCCTGATGTGAAAAAACTGAAAGCTTGGAAGCCGTGTTAACTTCCAAGTGACAGGTGCCTATTCTAGTGCTGCATGCTTGGTTTCCAGTCAATGGTTCCCTTATTTCTTGGTGGCATATTAATTATTATTAATAACAAGTCCAGTAGGGCCTAGAAGCCTCACATGAAGTCAGGCTGTGCTAGAAGCTGTACATATAGAGTACCAAGAGTTTACAGAGCGTGGATGAAAGGAAGTATCCCCATGATTTGGGGTATGTTTACACTGGAAAAGGGAGGTGTAATTTCTGGCTTGTGTAGACATACCCTGGTAGCGCTGATCAAGCTAGTGTGCTAAAAATAGAAATGGAGCCACAGTGGTGCAAGGAGCTAGCCATCCTGAGTGTGATCCCACCTGAGACCCTTGATAAGCACTCAGGTGACTAGCCCATCCTGGTACTCATGCCGTTACACTTCTATTTTTAGCACTCTAGTTTGATCCGAGCTAGCACCAGTATGTCTCCTCCAGCTGGGCATGATGCCTCCAGCTCCAATGTAGACGTACCTACAGATGGAGAACAGAGGCACGGTCAGACTAAGTGACTAGTTCAAAGTCACCCAGGGAGTCACTGGCAGAGCTGGGAATTGAACGCATGTTTCCTGCTTCCATACAGTTGGATTGCCACTTCACCTGGAGTCTCAGGACAGTAATAGGCTGATTAGGCGTCAGCTGGAGTATTGTGTCCAGTTCTGGGCACTACATTTCAGGAAGGATGTGGACAAATTGGAGAAAGTCTAGAGAAGAGCAACAAAAATGATTCAAGATCTAGAAAACATGAGCTATGAGGGAAGATTGAAAACATTGGATTTGTTTAGACTGGAAAAGAGAAGACTGAGAGGGGACATGAGAACAGTTTTCAAGTACATAAAAGGTTGTTACAAGGAGAAGAGAGAAAAATTGTTCTTCTTAACCTCTGAGGATAGGACAAGAAGCAATGGGCTTACATTGCAGCAAGTGAGGTTTAGGTTGGATATTAGGAAAAAGTTCCTAACTTTCAGGATGGATAAGCACTGGAATAAATTGCCCAGGGAGATTGTGGAATCATCGTCACTGGAGATTTTTAATAAAGGTTAGACAAACACCTGTCAGGGATAGTCTAGATAATACTTTGTCCTGCCACGAGTGCAGGAGACTGGACTAGACGACCTCCTGAGGTCCCTTCCAGTCCTATGATTCTACTGTTGTAAATGTCCTGTGGCCCATGAGCATGAGCCATTAAAGAGCTGCATGTTAATGTAGTGCATTGTGATGGTGTCACATAATGACTGTGCCCCACGACACACAATAGTGTCCTGCAGTGAGGCATCATCACAACTAAAGATGCAAACAATGCAACACAGTATCATGGTGCTCTGGCTATCATGCCAGCAGGATACCAATACTTTCCATTGATGACTTCATGCGTTGTGCTTTATAGAATACATCCGTACAGACAGAGAGACCATTCATCCCAGCCTGAAATTCAGCTGCTTCTGGGGTGGAACTTGGCAGCCAATTTGCACCACAACGGTGTGACAGAGGCGACAAAGTGAAAAAATGTCTCCTCCTGTCACAACTGCAGGGGCAAGATGGGCCAGCAGGATGCAATTGCCCACACTGGCCAGGACAGGAGGGTTAAGCAATGAGGAAGTGGACTCTTTAGTGATCACACATGGTCAGGACGTTGGTTTTAAGCTTCCTCTGAGAGATGGTGGCACAGTGTCCCCTGAGCATCATGCTTCGGCGCTGATTCAATACTGACTCTGAGGGAAGGTCTCGGCTTCCTGCATCACCAGCCCAGGAGCAAGAGCTCATCCAGGATGGTTCAGGAGGTGTTTGCCTTCCCCGCCATATGGCCGCCTCACTCTGCATGGAGCTGCTGGGGCCGGGGGCCAACAGGGCTGCTGCTCCTCAGACCCCCCCCCCCCACTGCGCTGCCGCCCCTTCCCCTCCCGGCAGAGCACACCCCTGCCTGGGCAGCGTGCACCAAGCGGGACTCGGCTTAGCGAGCTGGGCAGCTGTGGGCAGGGGGGAGCCTCCTCCTTCTCCTCCCCGGGGTGCCAGGCAACCAGCCGACGCCGCCTGCAGCCCCGGAGCGAGCGAGCCAGGCTGGGGATGCAGGGGGGGGCGGTGCGGAGCCCAGAGCCAGCCAGCGGCCGCATGCAAAACCCAGCTCCGGACTCCAAGTCTGGAGCCCAGTGCGGAGTGCGCGGAAAGGCGCCGCTTTTAGAAAATGTGCTGAGGGGAAGCGGCTGCTTCCCCTGCACCCCCCTAGCTACACTACTGGTCTCAAGATGCAACAACTTCCCAGCCAGGGAATGTTTCCCCTTTCCCCTCAGTTTATTACTGTTGAGTCTATAAACTTTTGTTAAATATACTAGTGGCATGCTATTTACCTTGGTCCATAACGTGGAGACCTTTCTGCGCTACTCCCTTCTGCACAGGACTCTCCTGTGTAAATCATCATTGGGTGTAAAACAATTCTGGAGATATGCTAAGGTAACATTATTTATATTTGTAAAGGCTCTTAAAGAACTGGCGAAAGTTAGTGAAGAGTTATGCAGCTATCAAGAGGAAATTCGAAAGAAGCCCAACCACAGAAGGTAAAAACACGTTTGGCCTATTTATGTTAGGGGAAGAAAGGCAACAATGGGCCTATTCCTGAGCCCATTCAAGTGAAAGGGAAATTTGTAATTAAATTGGTCAGGAGCTGGATAGGGCTCAGTGCTCAGTTTCTCAGTGCTCAGTGTAAGGAATCCCAGTGAAAACCAAAATATGTTTCAAACTGCAGAAAATGCAGTGTGCTTCCAAAATATATAAACTGATATCTGTATTTACATAGGGCTAGATTGTGCCTAGCCCTAACACAGTAGTGGAGTAAACAGGACGAAAGATTTTTGTCCCCACTCTGTGTCATGTTAGGGTTACCTAGATCTCAGCACTGGATACTGGAGGGACTGCAGGGGATTTGCACCAGATATTCCCTACAGGGAGCAAGGGGGCAGGGAGTGACTTCCCTCCCCCCCCTACTGCGCGCACACACACACACACACACACACACACACACACACACACACACACACAC